TTTACAACTTTTGTTACAAGCCCAAGAGTGATTTACTTAGTAAAAAAAAGTTTTAAATAGAAGCACTCTATATTTAGGCTTATAGTAAAATTTATATATAAAAAAAAAATATTTGTTCAGATGACTCATGATTTGCCTATTAAGTTATTAACATTTTTTTATAATATATTCATATTTTATTTATACTTCTATCTATATATATTCATGAACAAAACTAAAACCATATAGCAAACTTAATATAATGTATTAGCTAATGACTAAACAGAGCACAGTTCTGTAACTATATTTTACTAATAATTTTAAAAAGTTAGGCTAAATTAGGTCTATAACAGAATTAATATTTGTCAAGCCTATTCTGTTATATAGACATAACGAATATTCCGTATAACGGAACTTTTTGGCCAGCCCAAAATTCCGTTATATCGATAGTTGTCAGTATCAAAAAAATTTTTATTAATTTTTAAAAAAGTAGATCATAAGCAAATTTATAGTAGCATGGCCTCACCTTTGAAGATTAAAAAAAAAAAAAAAAAAAAAAATCCAAATTTATAGTAATTTCTCGAGCAAATTTGCCTGGAATTAGCTTACAGTTTAAGGAATAGTAAAGTTTAGCTCAAGGCCAGTCTATATCAATATAGTGAATTTATTAATAAAACTTCGATATGGCGCAAATTTTAAAAAACTTTTATTAATAAAACGGGTCACTTCACTATAACGAGAGTAAGTTGTATGTGAAATCAGCAAAGTTTACTAACTTAATCTTTAAAAAAAAAAATATTAATAAACAATTTTTCAGGTCTTAAATACGGGTTAAGAAATAGCATTAACGCATTTAAACAAGTATCCGAAGCATTAACACGCAACAAAACCAATAAACAATCTGCTGATTTGCAAGCGCGTTGATTTGTAATTAAAATTTGTCAAACATATGGATTATAAATAGATCACATTAAGCCAATTTATATTAAATATTAACGCAGGCTCCCTATAACCTACTTTTTAAATGTTGAGAATCAGAATGTAAGATATGTTTTAAATATATCATATCAATAACAAATTGGTTTATTGGTGTGGGAATCCCATAAATCTTGCCCAGCTTTACCAAATATCCATTCAAATAATTAATTTCAGTTATCTGACATGTCTGGATATCTTTTAACATATCAGAACTTTGCAAAGCAGTTTTTTTACAAATTTGTCTTACTGCGTTAATCAATCTTTCAGGACCAAACAAGTTCGTAGGCCTCATTCCTAAATGT